ATTTCTTTCTGTTGTGATATTTGTGAAGTTTTGCAGAAGAACAATTTTTTACAAGCAACCTAACAAGATATGAGACTGGTAACTGTTAACTTGTTCATGTCTGGGATGGTTAGAATTTTTAACATTTCATAGTTTTTTTTTTAATTCACTGAGTTGCTGCGAAATAACAATGCAGTGTACAAAGAAACAGATCTTGTCATAGTATTACTTAAAAATACTCCAAATGACACTAATAGGTGCCGGCTTTTTGAGGGCAGACTCTGAACAACACCAGTCCAGTGAAGTGGTAGATGAGTGTGAAAGAGAGGGATGACATTTTACACGAGCTTCTTTCCCTAGTCAAAGAATTTTCCATGGTCCTGCCAGGTTGCCCTGACAACACTGGTGACAGCCATTGGCCGACTAGCCATCTGGAGTACCATGAGTTTTCCCGTTGGGCCTGTTGACCTGTGGGCTGGTGGTGAGCAAAGCAACACAGATGCAAAAAGATTTTTTACAAGTCTTCGGTCCTGTAGATTGTCTGGCTGGTTACGACACAGGGAGGATGTACTTTACCTCTTTCCAACTTTCACGGGCAGCTGCTTAGTCAGTTCATACTTTCGTCATCTATTAACTTCAATTTGGTCTTTGAACCACTCGGCAGAGAGTGACAGCTTGCATTGACTCGGTAAAGCAACTGACCAAAAATGGGGGGGGGGGGGAGTAAAAAATAAAGTATATTGAGGCAGTGGTTGATTTTTATTTCACACATAGATAAATTAATGATATAGAAATTAGAAAATCTATTAACATGATATCACACCTAATGCAATGTTGCTATCATGCTAGCTATTTCTTTGATATATAGATCAAGTTATATATTTCCATGTTATCACATATATACTTTAAAGATATGCTCAGCACTTCCACATAATCAACGTTTGACCTTTGTTGTCAGTAACTTCCTCATCTTTGGTATGGGGTTAATGTAAGTTCACTGTTGCACTAATTTTCTTTTTTCATAACCATTTTGTGTTCATCTAAGAGCCTAAGAGGAAAATGTAGTCAGATTAACTGGATTATGACAACCACACATCGAGAGCCATATCAAAAACAGCCTTGACCAGACAAAATGGTGCTGAGTGATCATTTTGTCGCCGGTGTCGAGCGTTCTGAAATGTGCAAGCAAGTTTTTTTTATAAACTTTTGTGTCAACTTAATGATTTCTGTTTGACTCCTGACTCTTAAACGCTTCACTAGGGTTTTTAGTAATGAATTTAATATTAATATTTAACACAAAATGCATTTTTTAGATAAAAAAAAGTATATTATTAAAAGCATATTGATATATTTTATAGTATATTATTATATGGGCCCTTTTTTGTGTTTTTGAGTGTACGATACATCTTTGTAGTGAGTCAGTCTGGGTCAAAAGTTCAGAGACTGTGTTTTTTAATCCCAGTCTGCTCCTTCCTTCAGTCGCCTCAGCTGCTGACCGACCATCAGCTAACACTGCCTGTGCTTTGGCACTGCGCTACAGGCCCAGCCATATCCTGGCAGTTCAAGCTATGTCTGACCAATAAGACACATACGCACGCACATACACACATACGCACACACACTCTCCACAGGCCTCTCATCAGTTTAGCTCTCTTTCCTGAACTGGCTTAAAAGAATCGAGCCCGCCTGTGCTTTCTTTGCCTCTCTCCATATCATCTTTTCTTCCTGTGCGTGTCTTGACAGCCAGAGCCTTGTCCTCATTATCAGCGTGTGCATGTGCAGAAGGGCTGCTGACGCTGTGTGTGTCGCTGCAGACTGACGTCAGCAGTGCCCTGCTCCTCTCCATACAAATGCTCTGCCTGCCTACCATTGATACCCCCCCCCCCC